AATTATTTTGTTGAGTATAAAGTCTAAAGTTAAAGCTAATTGAGAGAATTCCTTCAGGATAAGTATATTTAATAAGAATTCCAACATTAGTTAAGAATTGACATAAATATTTAAAAGTAGAATCCAATGCATATCTATAACCTTTAAGTCTGGTTAAAGAAATTAAATTTGTAGTAAGTTGTTTGTAAATAGATATATTCAAAGGAGTTTTAATATCTCCTTTAAAATAAACAGAACAAACAGGATACATAATGTGATTATTATCTTTTTGAGCATTAATATCAGTGAGAACAATTTGAAATTGATATATTTGTTGAATTAAATGATATAAAAAGTAAATGTCAGTATGAATATTTTTTAGTGATAGACTTTCTAAGTTGTTCAACGTATTTTTGTTTTGTTGTTTTTTTAAACCATTGGTCAATTTTAGTAGGAATAGTACCCCTATGAGTAGACATTGAATATTTAAAGAGATAAGATCTGAAAACAAACAAAAATGAGTATTGAGAAAGGAGATATATTTGAAGAAACAGTAAGAAAAGCAGTAGAAGGAAAGAATTTATTTTTATGGGGAAAAACTGGTACAGGAAAGACACTAACAGCTAATGAAGTTTGTAAAAGAGTAGGGCAACCACTTCCCTATAATAAAAGTACAAGTAAATTATGGAGAAATTATAAAAAACAAAAAGTAGTATTACTTGATGATATTGATAAAGATAGTGTTAATTATATTAAAAGTAGTATATTTACATGGGGAGATTATTATAATTTTGAAGCACAAATAAGTAGTAAAGAAGAAGATACTATTGTAATTAATCCAATTAATTATACATTAATAATTACATCTACATTTAATCCAGAAGAATTATTTGAATTTAAGAATAGTTATGAAGTAGAGAAATTCCATAGATTATTTGAAGTAGTTCATACAGATGAAAATTATTTAGACTCTTTAAAATGAATAACATAAATGAATAATTTTTAAGAAATCAATTAGATTTAATTTTTAATTTATTTAAATTATCTTCTGAGTATTTTTGGTCATTGACTCTATTAAGAAGATCATTAATAACAAGCTCCGTAAAGAGTCTGTAATGATAAGCAGGATATTTCATAGTTTTTATATTCTTATCATTACTATCTCTAAGTTTATAGAGATCATTTAGTCTAGCATTAAAATATGAAGACTTCTTTCCATCATGAGACCAAAATGGATGTTTAGGAAGAAATATATAGAATGTTTTTATCTTCCCATAGATACTACAGACTAATTTATTTAACTCTTCATAACTAAATACATTATGAAAGAATCCCCCAACACAATGTATAAAGTATAATAATTCAAAAGGGGGGTCATCGAGTTTTTCAACCGATCTGAAGAATATTACTAATGATTCGATTGCAGAGTCATATCTTTTTTGATATATTTTAGTACGAAATGGACTTAGAGCCTCTGTAATAACTCTGTTGTCCAAACCAACCAATTCATACATTGTATAAATCAGAGGTTCTATTATACTAAAGTCCAAATCAAAAGTATTAAAAGTAAACTTTTGAATTGGAATATCTAACATGACTCTTTGTACGTTTTTCGAATTCACGTAATATTCCAGAACGGTGTTGTAGTCTGGTAATCTCTGCAATTGTATATAGAATGGAATATTAAGATAGATCTGAAATAAAGTAGATAAAAATAAAAAAGAATGAAATAAAATAAAGAAGAGAACCTGTCATTCTTAACAAATGAATCAAAAGACACTTCCCTTTCATTATTATTATCAATAACCATAAAAGTGGTATTCTCATTTGTATTTTGACTATTATTAGGAATAGAATAGTCAGGGATGACAATGTCATAGTCAGACTTGTGTTTATATGTACAAGTACCACACATGTCATAGACCATGGGACTCTTGTATTCATCATCCTCTTCATCGCTGTAATTAGAGAATAATCTTCTACCAACATAAGTTGATGGAAGTCTAGAAGAAGGAGATCTGTTAGACATTTGAAGAATGGAAAAATGAGATTAGATTGATAGAAAGAGAAAATAGAGTAGATAGAATAGATAGAGTAGAGTCTACAAGAGTGTCTAAGAATAGAAGAATGAAAAGAAATAGAAAAGAAATAGAATCAAAGTAGAAAAGAAATAGATAAAATAAAAATAAAAAGGATAAGAAAGGAATGAATTAAATTAAATTATCTTGATGGGAATTTACCATCTTTGAACAACACATCATAAGAATAAATCTTATTGATGGTGTCTGTATTGTTATAGTTCCAATCTTTGAACTTGATGATTCCAAAGTGTCTTACAACAACTTTATTACGGAACCAAACAAAGATTCTATAAATATGTCTACCAACATCCCTGGATTTTCTAAAGCATATTAATGCTCTATAATTATTTTTGGTTACCAGGTATCTACAAACATCAAGATAATTGTATTTTCAGTGATGATGTAAAACCTGTGTTGGTAATGAGGTGTTGGTGTGTTCATTATGGATGTATAAGAATAAAAAGATCAAGATGACCAGTTATGACCATCTGATGACCATTTATGACCAAAGGAAAAAATATTAGGTAAAAAAGACTTAAATTAGGGGAAGAAAATAGGTGACCAAGTGTGACCATTTGATGACCAAGTGTGACCAGATATACACTGAAATCATGACCATATGTGACCATCTAGTGACCATGTCCAAGTGTGACCAGGTGTGACCATCTTATGACCAGATATACACTGGAAGTGGTCAGAGGTGGTCAGAGGTGGTCATGGATCTTAGGTAAAAAAGACTTAAGATAGGGGATAAAATAGGTGACCAGAATGCGACCATGTGTGACCATCTCGCATATTTTTTTTCAATTTTTTTTTTAAGAATTTCAAAGTGTAGTGTAAAAAGTTTTAAGAAATTGGAAATGACTAGGGAATAAAAAAAAAGGAAAAAGGACATGATGGGATGAATCATAGAGAAAATGTATAAAAAATACCATTATAGAGACAGAATGAAACTCTCTATCCATATTGATAGTCATTTTTGAAAAAGTCCACTTGAGGTGGTCATATCGTGACCAGATCGTGACCAGTTAATGACCATGTGAAAAAAACTTAGGTAAAAAAGGTTCAAATTAGAGGAAGAAAATAGGTGACCAGATCGTGACCAGATCGTGACCATCATGAATGTTATATAAAACAAAATAAAATAAAGTGTGTGTATTTTGTGTGTTTATAAAATTATAAATATAATTAAATTTATTATAAATAACTAGAATTGCACCTTTATTCAACTTGTGTGTTCTAAATATATTTTTGTTGTATAAAACAATAGATGATTTATAAATAGAAAAATAGACATAATTGTAATTTATTCATTATGTTATTCAATGTTATTTATACTATTGTTTATTATATTATATTATTTATATACTATTATATTTTATTCTTCATTCTTCATTCTATTTTTATTTATCCAATCAATCAGACAATCAATCATTTAAACAATCATTTTTTTCTTATTTAGTGATCAATCACTTTCTTATTTAATGAAAATTTAGTGAATTTTCTCTTTCTTATTTAATGAATTTTAAATGAAAAATTAATCAATTTTCTCTTTCTTATTTATTGTTATTCTTCTTTTCTTTGTTTTTCCTCCTTTTTTTGAAATTTTCCTTATTTCTTATTTCTTGTCTATTATCTATGATTTAAATTATCTCATTCCTGAAGTTATCTCTTCTAGATACTCTGAACTTATACTGTCTTCTTTCTCCACTTCTTTTCAACTTCTTCAACTATTATATCTTTTTCTATCTCTTTTATTTCTACCTCTTCTTCGATTTCTTCTAAGTAACCTTCATTTGTCTCATCTTCCTCTTTTTCCTTACTCATTCTGTTCTGTATTATGCTTTTTAGTTCTTTATCGTGTTCTTATTTTACTCTTTTTCTTTTCTTTAAACTTTATTCAATTATCATTTCAATATGACTTTCTTATGTAAGCAATAGAACTTCTGCTCTAATGTTTACTTGGTAGTTACACATTAACTTTCCATCTACTAGACTATCAACATACTTATTATCTTCACTTGGTTCTTTCCTTTACAAACATGTTTCTCTTTCTCTTAAACTCCTTCACTCTTCATTCTTCTCTAATACTGAAAGTAGCACCTGTACTATCTGTACTTCCTGAAATATATTTACATTTGAAATCATCTTTTCTAATGGCTATTGCTATATGTCCTAATTGTAATATTGTTGTACCATTCTTTAATGATGATCCATCTATTACTGTATTTCATTTAATAACTTCCTTATTGATTACTTCTTTTGTTTCTGAATTAAGTACTGTCTTATAGATACTATTCTTAAATTAAGCTTGAACATTAGATCTAGAGTTTGCTGATATATATGTTCCTGTAAAGATTAATTCATTCATTTTTGTAGCTTCAGTTTCTCCAAATGTATTTCCTGAGAATGCTTGAATATATACTGGATAGGTTCCTGACACATATCCTTCAATACTTTGATTTACCATCATACTACTTTGATAGTATGGACTATTGATAAATTGACTTTTTTAATTTGAATATTTCTGGATCTATTTTATCTCAATCTAATCATTCTCCTAACATTATTGGTACTACAACCATCTCTCTTATCTTCTGGGTCTGCTACATTACATTCAATTCTAACTGGATATGGTTGATATACCATCACTTCTGATACATTCTTGGGTTTCCTTTTTTTTCTTCCTGTATTATTTAGTTAATCTAAATCTCTAAATAATCCTCCCAATCTCTTATTTTTATTTCTCATTTCAATTTGATAGATGCTATTTATTAGTTAGATCTCTTATTTCTATTCTTATCAATGAGTTTTCTATCCACTCTCTTAAGTAAAGTCCTTCCTAATGCTTTAAATGTTAGCAATTATGCTAGTCAAGGTATAGTCCAAGGAATCCAGAGAAGTGGTCTTCATGGCTATAAACACCAATTAGGTGGTATTCCTATTTCTGATGCCGAGTTCTATCTTTTAGATGGTCCTATAGATGAGAATGATGCTGGTGAAGAACAAGTCTTACAACAACATGTTGGTGCTAACAAAAAACAAGTTGTAGCTGGATTAATTGCTGCTAGAGAAATGTCTAATGCTGTCTTGTATAGTTCTCTCGCTAATTGTAAAACTGAAACTGTCACATTAGAAGCTAATTTATCTTTCTACTATTCAAAAACAGCTAAAACAGGTACTCGAAAGGATGGTGTTCCTGTTATTAATTATAAGGATCATGGTTATACTCATCTCATTCCTAAATTATTCAGAAATTATGATTCATTAAAACGATATGATGCTTTTGTATTGAATATGGTTATTGTTCAATCTACGCAAGCGTCAACAAGTATCACTGGAACTACTGTTTCTTTCTATCCTTTAACTAAAGACACTAGAAAATTAAAGAACTCTGTTGTTAAAAGTGCAGGAAATCGTCAAGAATCATCAACTTACAATAGAATCTATTATGTTA